TGTATGTGAAATGGGTTGATACAGGAATGTTATACTATGTGATTTTAGTGTATTTAGTGAATGTCACTATTTGTTATTTTCAAATTTCCCACCATTCCGTCCCCCGTACGTCCCGACGCTCGCAGGGGACGGAACCCAGATGACAGATGCCGGCATCCACCGGATTACATTGCCGGGGACGCTGCAGGAGGGACATCGCGGGAGGAGCGCAGGACAAGGTAAGTGATCGAGGGATCGCGGAGCAACGCTGCAAGGTATTCCCAAGTGTAGCTCGGGGTTACCGCTTGTGGTGCTGAAACTTTACCCCGAGCTACAGTCGGGAATACCGTCAGGGAGGCTACGCACATGAAGGACAGAGACTATACGTTTTATTCTCATGCACATGAGATGTATTCAAGATTGGATTATATATTGCTGGACCATCGACTTATCGAGTCTCTGGTCAAAGTAAAAATAGAAGTGATGTCAATATCGGACCATGCCCCTGTCACAATGCAATTATTATGGGGAAATGAGCAGATCGGGGGGAAATTATGGAGGTTAAATGAGACACTTCTCCAGGACTCAGAGGGGGATCAAAGAATTAAAAAAGAAATAGAGCAATTTTTTTTGAGGAAAATGATTCTGGGGAAGTGTCCGTAGCAACAGTGTGGGAGGCTCATAAGGCCTATATTAGAGGAATCCTGATAGCGACTGGAGCAAAAAAGAAGAGGGAAAGAAGAGAAAAAATAAACACGCTTCTTAGTGAACTCTGTGAGTTAGAGCAGATACATAAACATAAAGTAACAAAAGAGATTATGCAGAGGGTAATAAATAAAAGAGAATTAAATAAATTTCTGGAAGAAGATAAGAAAAGAGTGTTCAATAAAATGATAAGTGAGAAATACAGATGGGGAGATAGGCCAGGAAAGTATTTAATGAGGGCTCAGAGAAAAAAAAATCTAGGAACTATATAGAGAAAATAAGAGACCACAAAGGAGATTTAATGTATTCAACTAAATATATAGCTAAAGTGTTTAAAGAATATTATATTAAGCTATATAATATTATCCCCCACAGCTCCATAAGTAAAATGAGGATATATATGAATGCATTGGGAGGAGAGATGGAAATGAGGAGGGAATCCCAACAAGCCCATGTAGTTCTCATACATAGTGTATTGCTTTTAGGCCAAAAAGTTGAATTTCGGTCTCATCTGACCAGAGCACCTTCTTCCACATGTTTGCTGTGTCCCCCACATGGCTTCTCACAAACTATAAATGGGACTTCTTATGGCTTTCATCCAACAATGGCTTTCTTCTTGTCACTCTTCCATAAAGGCCAGATTTGTGGAGTGCACAAGTAATAGTTGTCCTGTGGACAGATTCTCCCACCTGAGCTGTGGATATCTGCAGCTCCTCCAGAGTTATTATGGGCCTCTTGGCTGCTCCTCTGATGAATGCTCTCCTTGCCCGGCCTGTCAGTTTAGGTGGACGGCCATGTCTTGGTAGGTTTGCAGTTGTCCCATGCTCTTTCCATTTTCGAATGATGGATTGAACAGTGCTCCATGAGATGCTCAAAGCTTAGAATATTTTTTTATAACCTAACCCTGCTTAAAACTTCTTCACAACTTTATCCCTGACCTGTCTGGTGTGTTCCTTGGCCTTAATGATGCGGTCTGTTCACTAATGTTCTCTAACAAACCTCTGAGGGCTTCACAGAGCAGCCGTATTTATACTGAGATTACATGACACATGGAAGTACTCTATTTACTAATTAGGTGACTTCTTAAGGCAATTGGTTCCACTAGATTTTAGTTAGGGGTATCAGAGTAAAGGGGGCTGAATACAAATGCACGTCACACTTTTCACATATTTATATATAATAAATGTTGAAAACCATTTATCATTTTCCTTCCACTTCACAATTTTATGTGCTACTTTGTGTTGGTCTATCACATCAAATCCCAACAAAATACATTTACGTTTTGTGGTTGTAACATGACAAAAGGTGGAAAATTTCAAGGGGTATGAATACTTTTTCAAGTCACTATACCAATGAAAGAATTTTTCTGCAATCCCTGTATCTTGTCTAATATGTGTATATCCTAGCTCCATCTAGTGGCCATAATGTGGTATTTTCCTAAAATACCACAATCAGAAAATACAACATTATGGCCACTAGATGGAGCTGATGACCATAGGAAATACACATATTAGACACATCAAAGGGATTATTGGAGATGGTTGTAGAAATGCTTAGGCATGTACACAGTGATTTTAAAAACTGGAGCATGGACAGAAACCAAAAAGTTGAGTATTTTAATGAAACATTTGCTTTTTTAAATTATGTATCATATGTTTATATATTTATGCATATTACATATACTTTCTATAAAACTGTTTTAAAACATATAATGTCCATATAAACATATAACAGGGACAATTCAAACTAACCGAAAATCCTTATAACGATCCCAAACCAAAACAGAAGACAATGGCCACTCCAAGGGATGACACCAGACTCCTGAGTGCAGGCTTGCCCAGCTCACGCAAACAAAATGGCGGAAAGTATGGAAAGCTGCACACAAATATTCAGCCCAGTTGGAATCTATAAAAAAAGCTTCAGTTTTTCTCCTCCAGAAGCCATGCCCTACCAATGCGTTTCACCCACCCCTAGCCTTAGTCCAAGAGTGGGTGAAACACGTTGGAGGGGCATGGTTTTGGAGGAAAACAAGTTGAAGCTATTTTCTTACAGTTTCTAACTGGGATAAATATCCATACTTTCCTCCAAAATCATTGTAGTTGATTTCTTTTGTTATACTGAACATAGTTGTACGTATTATTTTACATTTTATATTTTACACTAATTTAAGTACCTAGATGAAGCATGCTGAGGATTATTTGTTCTGTTCCACCAGTCCAGCTTTCCTCCGCCACCTCACTCACAGTGACAGAATAAGGTTCCGCCGTGCATTAAGCGCGGTCCTTGTGCGCGTACTTAATTAACTCCTTCAGCTCTCCTGTACCATGCAGCTAGGCCCATGAGGTCTCCATATCATAGATTCAGTCCCAATTGCTTTCAGGGAACTGACCTCTAGGGAAGGAGCGAGAGAGCGCCAACCCCCCACGTTACCAGAGGACCCATCACTCTTCCCTGGTATAACTGTCTGGCTGCCATTACATTCCCACCAGTTCATGGTTACCCATAGCAACCACACACTTCCCACCCAACTCTTCTGCTGAGCCAACCCTTAGTGGTGGCCCACCGTTCCTTCCTCTTCAGAATCTAACTAACTCCAACATATAAGCACCAGCTTACAAGCCAATCACCAGGAACACGAGGTGTCTCATCAAGTGAATTACACATCCCTCCAAAAAACCAAGGTTACCTGTAGCACCCACACACTTCTTACCAACTCTTCTGCTGAGTTAACCCTTAGTGGTGGCCCACCATTCCTTCCTCTTCACCCCCATATGTGCCTTACAGGCCCTGTTCTTCAGATACACCATAGGCCCCCATGTACCCCCTTGAATGACTTCAGACCAGGCATGAACCAGTTGAACAGACTTTACTGGACAACTGGGTAATACAGTCCAACAATGACATTCAGTTCATTCCTAACTAGCTAGTCCCAGGCTACCCAGTGCGTACCTTCCCGAGGTGAGACTCCATAAGTAGTTGAGTCCTGGCTCAGGCAACTGCTCCAGTTGCTGTTAGTGGCTTCATCATTAGGCTTTGCCTCTCGATTCCTCCCATGCAGGCCAAGGCAGAGAGCAGAGCCTTCCCTCTATTTATTGATAGCACAGAGTAGAGGAAAGAGGTTAGAAAATGCCCAGGAAAATGCTGAGCCTAGCTTATCCCCTTCCCATTCAGGTAACCAAAAGAAACTAACTAACTCCAACCTGTAAGCACCTGCTCATAGGCCAATCACTAGGAAACAGAGGTGTCAGATCAGGTGAATTACACATCCCTCCAAAACCCCAAGGTTACCCGTAGCAACCGCACACTTGTTACCAACTCTTCTGCTGAGTGAACCCTTAGTGGTGGCCCACCGTTCCTTCCTCTTCACCCCCATATGTGCCTTACAGGTACACCATGTGCCACCATGTACCCCTTTGAACAACTTCAGACCAGGCATGAATCAGTCGAACAGACTTTACTGGACAACTGGGTAATACAGTCCAACAATGACATAGAGTTCATTCCTAACTAGCTAGTCCCAGAGGAAAGAGGTGAGAAAATGCCCGGGAAAACGCTGAGCCTACCCATGGTTCCCATCCAGGCAACCAAAAGAAACTAACTACCTCCAAACTGTTAGCACCTGCTTACAGGCCAATCACCAGGAACCAGAGGTATCACATCAAGTGAATTACACGTCCCTCCAAAACCCCAAGGTTATACCTGTAGCAACTACATATTCCCTGCCAACTCTTCTGCTGAGTCAACCCTTAGTGGTGACCCACCGTTCCTTCCTTTTCACTCCCATATGTGTCTTGCAGGCCCTTTTCTTCAGGTACACCATGTGCCCCCATGTACCCCTTTGAATGACTTCAGACCAGGCATGAATCAGTCGAACAGACTTTACTGGACAACTGGGTAATACAGTCCAACAATAACATACAGTTCATTCCTAACTAGCTAGTCCCAGAGGAAAGAGGTTAGAAAATGCCCGGGAAAACGCTGAGCCTAGCTTAACCCCTTCACATTCAGGCAACCAAAAGAAACGAACAAACTCCAACCTGTAAGCACCTGCTTACAGGCCAATCACCAGGAACCAGAGGTATCACATCAAGTGAATTACACGTCCCTCCAAAACCCCAAATGACCACCTATTATTGTAACAAAGGATTGATCAACTGTACAAATGTCTACATTAAGCTCTTGCCCCCTAATACAGTACAACCGTATATTGTAAACTTCCACCATAAAATATAAAAAAATATAGGTGTCATCAGACCAGTAACAAAAAAAAAACTTTGTACAAGAGTTAAAGGTGTGATTAGTGTGTCCACATATTT